GGAAATTGTGTGCATAACTTCCACTGAAGTCAATATCTAGAGGAGCATTGTGGTGGATGGGTGATGAGAATCTGCCTTTAAGTGTGGTCCCCTTTATCTGGGTGAATACTGAAATGTATGACTGACTATCTGATGACTGTATTCATAGCCTGAGTGAAAGAACTGTGATAAACAACCATGAAAAAAGCCCCAAAACTGAACCAACAAAAACTTGGAGGGGGACGGGATGGGACGGGGGAGGAACAGGCTATACAAGAATGTTTTGCCTTTCTGCACCAAGCTTTCAGTAGAGCTCAGAACATTTTAGAAAAACGGGCAAGCCTATCAGACTTTGAATAATAACTGGGATAAAGAAGTGAAATGACTTCTCCAAGGAGCCCCAGTGCTCTTCTTGTTAAAACTGGGGGCAAATGTGTGTGCTTCTTTCCCTGCTTTGTTCTTGAAGCCCTTAGAAAGAACTGGTGGTGGTCTTAGTAAAACACAAAATGTATACTTTTAATCAGTTTGTTGCTCACATGACTTGACTCCTCATGCTGATGGTTTCAATTTTATTATGGGAGGTATTATGGTGTGGTGCTTAAAAGGCAGTTTGTGCTTCCTCTACTTGTATCTATTTTGTAATTAAATAAGGACCTTCAGATTCCGGAGAAACTATTCCAGCACCTTTTCTCTGCAGTAAATTATGACTAAATAACAAAATGTTTTAAACTCTTAAAGACTGTAACTAAATACAGCCAGCATTCCCCTACTTTCTGAATTACTGCAAGAGAGCCAAATTCTCTGTGGTGGCTCAGGAGATCAAGGGCACTTACTCATAAGTGAACACGCATGCTTACTACACTGTAGGTGCATTGTATTGGGAATAGTGCTGTCCACATGTTGAGATGGTGAATGCCTAAAACTAAGCCAAATAGTTCCTGTGCCTGAAATCCCTTCCTTGAGAGCATAGAGTCATTTCATAGTATAGGTGTAAACGATGTTGGCTTTTTTTTGTGTGTCTTGAAAGCCAAATGAATGTCTGTATTTACGAAGGACCACGAAACAAACTCCACTGGAACTCCACTGTTGGTGAGTTACCACTGCCAAGTGCACAGAGCCTAAAGAGGTCTGTTTTTGAGGTCCAGCACAGCATAGCTGCTGTGAAGAACTGTCGTCATTTGATGTCTCTTAACAGCTTTTAAGTTCTGTAGTAAACATGGTGACTGCTTTAAAAACAGAGCAGCAGTGGTGTGCCAAATGTAGGTTCCCCTTGGAGGTCTTGGGCAGTAACAACATTGCTGAATGTGTTGGCTGGATCTGAGTGCTGCTCTTCAGTGCACTTCTGAGGTAGTCAGCCATCTCCCAATATGACACCCTTGCTTCACTTCTTTGTAATTCTGATTCATCTTTGACCTCTCAAGCTGAAAACTTATAAATTATCTTTTAGAAAATTTCAGCCAAAATGGTCATACCATTTTTAAATGCAAAACAAGGAAAATACACTGTATTATCCATGTTAAAACTATTCTGGAATTCCTTCTGAGAAGCCCTGGCACCTTCATGGCTCAAGGGAAAAAGTGGAAATTTGGAAGTGCATCCTCTGCCTTAGGATTGCTCTTTTATCACTGTAAAGAACACCTGGCCATGTTTTAACCCTCTGAAAAATCACACTTATTGAATAAAGGCTCCCTTATCATCAAAAGCCTTCATCACTGAGCGTGGTCCAACTGCTGCGCACGACTGGACTTTGACTGTACATCCCTTACTGAACACCCAAAGGTACCTCTGCCCTGGCCTGATTGGTTTTCCTGCTAGCAGGTAGGTAGAGAGCTGGAGGAAGCTGGAGGAAGTGTGGAGAAAAGCTGGGATGAAGAGCTTGGAGAAACACAAGATCAGTGACTGTGAGGCAGGACGCAGGATGCTGAGCCAAGAGACTGGTGAAGGAAGCTGACATGGGTAAGGTGAGGTCTAGGATTAGCTGGCCGAAGCTGCAGTGTTGCTGGAGATGATGGAGACCAGAAGAAACAGAGCTGAAAGGGCTTGTTGGGGTGTGGAGAAGGAAGGAGGAGTGAGGAGAGGGACGGTGACATAAATGGTGGGAACAGAGACAGTAAGCCAAGGAGAGCACAGGGCAGCTGACGTCAGATGAAAAGACAAGAGCTGGATTTTGGTTTCAACAGAGAAAAAGGACTGAGACATGGATGGGGAGGCAGAGGTGGAAGGAGGGAGAAGGAAGAGAAGATAGGTGGCAGAAGTAAGAACCATAACATCTGACTGTAATATGGGAACAAAGAGGCCAAATATAAGTTTCACGAGCAACTTTTCTTCTGGTACTGCCAAACTCCTGGAGTCCCTCCTTATCCGTAATACTGTCCATTTTAGGCATGTTTAGGTGTGCACATGTGCCCTGTAGAACATCAAGTGGGCAGACATATATGAATGTAAAAATACAGACTTCCAAGAGGTCATGCAATGCACAGTGCTGTAGCACTATTTTTTTACTCCTCTGAAATAATCATACCCTACGTTTGTCAGCATGTGTTCCAGAAAATACCAGGATAAGACCTGATTACTGCAGGGTCTCCGAGACAAGTCAAAACATTTGGGCTGAATTCTCTGAGAAACTGAAATCTCTGGAAAAATTTAACCCCACACAGTTAGGAAGGCAAAGCTGCTGTAGTTTGGCTCAGAAATAGGGGTCTTCAGGATATATTTTCCTGATAGCTCAAAAAAGCTTGCATTCAGCTTTGCAGAGTTAAATCCAACAGTCTGCAGCAGTGACTTTCAAACCATAGTGAACCACAGGATCCATAGACAGCTTTTATAAGGCCTGTGTAAAGTTCTATAAGAAAAACAGGACTTTTGCTTAAATTTGCTACAACCGCAGATTTTACATGTAGAGACTAGGACAAAATTGCAAGTCCTTAATGAACAGTATAAATATATGGAGGAGACCAGAGGCACTTCAAAATCAGCCTACTCTTATGAAGTGGCCACTTCTACAGAGCCAAGGTCTAGCATCTGGGTGTATGGGGTCTTCTTATGCTCTTCAGGACCCCTGTCTGCCGAGGATCGTCCTTTCTGACAAAGATAAATTGCCCCTGAGCACTGTAGCTTTACATTTTAGTTCCAGCTGGGATACGCTGGTAATCCTGAGGTACAAAATCATCTTCTGAATATATTGCAGTTAACTTCAGTTGTATAAATCCAGGCATTAGCTGGATACTATAAATAGGCAGGATGTGCAAGGAGGCCAAGTTGAAAATGTGCAGGAACCATGCCTTTTTCCTTTAATGCAGCCCCAAAGTTGTGCTTTGTTTTATCACGTATAATATTTTTCATATGAAAAGGAAGCGATATGCATGTCCTTTATGGCTGTAGTAATTAACTGGACATAATGAAGCATTGAATTTCACACTTCGGAGAAGTGGATGGGGGAGGATGGGTAAGTTTTTGTCAAATTTTCTTGCTTTTAGTGCCTTCTTGGAGGTAGTTTTCTGCAAGATTGGGTAGGGAGCATAAATACATCTGTTTCATATTATATGATGGCTGCACTTTGGCAGTGGAAAAAGATGGCACTTAAAAAAAAAGAAAGAAGAGTAAAAAAGAAAAGCTTGGCAACTGCAGAATGGAGCAACAATTACATGAGCTATCTTAAAATTCCCAGGATTTGTAATTTATTTTTCCACGCTTGCAATTTTTCTGATGTTGCTGATGTTAAAGGACTGAGACAGAGGAAATTCAGTAGTATTTTACAAAGTACAGCTATCTCTGTGAAACAATCTCCTTTATTTGTGTTGCCCCCACAGCAGCTGCTGTGATTAACATGTGGGTGGTAGCAAAAGGGATAGGAAGCAGGACTCGTATGTTCACTTTAAAAAAAGTGATAGAAGATAATTTTTTCTGTTGTTTTCTGCAGCCAGTGGCCATGAAGTAATGAAGATGGTCTCCCCCTTAACTGCAACTATCTGTGGGTATAAGGCAGAAGTAAAATTAATGTAGATGTTTTTTGGAAACAGAGCTATGTGAGGCATCTTCGTGGTGAGAAAAGTTATTCAAGCAATGCAACTGTACCTAGTGAAGTGTTACCTACTGAGGTTTTCATTTTTTTCTTTCCTTTGTATATTCACCCTGGAAACACTACTTTTTCGCCCCCTTACATTAACATAAGTTGGTCACAAAGTACGAAGAGCTGAGCTTCTACTAATGTGGTAGACATTTTCATCTTTGTGTAAAGTTGGTGGGAGCCAAGGACACTGAGCATCTGCCTGTTTTTGAACAAGACTACAGGGTATGACATGTGAGCATCTTCCAAGAGTGTAGTAAGTGCTGCATCCCCTGGGGCTGTTTTTCACATCCTCTCATTTGGAGAGTGTAACTCTTCAGCTTTTGCAGGGCTGGGGGCTGGAAAGGTTGGGAATCATGCTTTCCCTTCAGTGGGGTCTGAGCTATATGACAGTACCTCTAGGTAGTTCAACAGCTTAGCTGACTTGAAACAGAACACTGGAATAAAATATGTTCTGAGTGATTTTTAAGTAAAAGCTAATGTGAAAATGTGGGAGTTTGAACCAATGTAAACACATTAAATTTAAAACGATTTTGAAATGTATAAAAAGATAGCGTTCCTGCTCTTGAAATTCCTAAAGGACACATTTTTCCTTCTGAGTCATGATTTAATTAGATTATATTTTATTAGACATTCTTTACAAATTTAAAATACTGCTATTATACATGCACAAAGGAAAATCAGTTTGAGCAATTGTATGTAGGCATTCATTGAAGTCAACCACAAAACAGGAACATTTTATGTCAGTTATCAATGTACTTGATATGTATATCTAAAGTGCATGATGTTACAAAAAATATAGAAAGTCAGCAGCACCAAGATACGTTCACAAAATAAATACACCAGTCAACAAAATAAATTATGGTAAATGTGACAATAATAATTGTCTTAGCCTTAGCAGAAAAAAAAAAAAAAAAAGGAAAATTCACAATAACCAAATGTGCAGTTTTGGAGAGCAATGGGGGAAAAAGGTTTTATTCTGAGCATTTACAATATTTACAAGTAATAAATATTTTAATACTTCCCATATGTTCACTATTACAGAATACTGCAATATGTCTTCCAAAAATCTCTTGCTGAAAATGTCAGCGCCTCCTGCAAAGAAAAAAAGAACAGAAGAAATAGAAAAATTAATTTTCACTTCAAATACATGGACAAAAAATTAATGGCAAGAGTGCCACAGACTATAATGGGTGTGCATTGCTTGTAAACATTTGCAATAATAGGGCCTGTTTAACAATGCTACGGTTTTAGACATCTTTTCAAGACCTCTGTTATATTTCCTTCAATGCAACTCAGCTAGCTATATGAAGACCTGCAGTTTTCACGACACTGAGCCCATCTATTCCACTCTATCGTACACTCAGAGAAACAGGAAGGGGCCTTAGTTTTCTTTAGAGCCTTATGCAAGAAGATTCCCAAGCCGCTACAGGCAGAAAAATTGTATCAACCAATAATAAATATACCAAGTGCTAAAAAGAAAAAAGTACAATTGAAGGAATGAGAAATTTGTTTTGAAGATAAGAAAAGGAAAGTCTTTATTGAACACTGTGGCAATCAAGCCCCTGCTGTGTTAAACACTTGGGTGTGGTTCTGGGCATCTGATTAAAACAGTCCCACGGAGCTTATTTGGTCTAAATTTCCCATTGATAGACCACCTGTTAGACAAGGGTCCATTCATCGTAGAGGTAAATATTCCTATGCTGTCATGTATATGAGTACATGCAGTATTCATGCTGTAAAGGCTGCTCAGGTCTTGAAGTGAGCAGACCCTTGATCGCGTGTCTGTTTAACCGCTTGGATGAATTGAAAGACTATAATCCCGAAACGTTCCCTCTGTGAGCCAAAAAGCAGGGTCCTGAAAGAAAACGAGCATCTTGTCATGTTAAGCTCTGACTCCCGTTCCATTCAGTCAATACTGAAACAGTCCTAAGATTTGGGAGTTTTCAAAGGGATGCTGGCAGCCTGGTGTGAGTTCTATGCTCCTCCCTTCCTTGTGAAGACATGAGAACAAAAGCAGAGCCTGCTCCTATCCTGACAGTATATTTCTTATAGCACAGTATTATTTTAAGTTACTTCTTAGTGGTGCTGCAGGAAATGCTGAAGGGCTGGGCTTTTTTCCCTTCTGTTTCTGTGAACAGCCCATTTCTGTAACGCACGTTGTTTCCCTGGGAAACAGCTATAGGCTGGAATGCGAAGCTGTAGGATGGAGCATGATTCGCTCTGTTACTGGACTGATCGCCAAAGCTGTGGGTAGCGTTCCACATGACAGACATGCGTGGGCATGAGACATACAGAAAAAGCAAATCCTTGAGAGTTTAAGAAGGATTTTTTTATGTGCATGTTGAATGTGAGACTAAATTTAACATTAGGGAGTCTACTAATTTGAACAGTTTCTTAGGAAATGAAGTAACAACAGTTTAACTGAATTGGAATGGGAATATAGCTGGAATGTCCATGAGAAAGATTTTTTTTAAGTGCCTGGAATGGAAATGCTAGCATGAAGCTCCTTAATAATTAACTAGTAATATTCAGGTGTATTCAGGCTATATAACAATGCATATAATAATGGCACACGGTTCATACAGTGTGACTGTATATGTGTGTCTGCACTACACAGGCCTATTTTTAAGGGGCTGACATTTTCATTTTGGCTTGGATTTTAGGCTTTGTTTTAGAGTTTAAGCTAAGCCACATCTTGGTAATGGGCTCTGTACTGATGACTGCTTGCAAGCTGCTTTCTGTGATTTGGTCCCAGATTTCGCAAGATTGGCTTCTTTTATGAGATACTACCTGTAGTAAGTCAAAAGATCTAGAAAGCACATTATTTTTGGTCTTTTTTTCTGACCTAAACCCAAAATTTTGAGATTGAGATTGTGCAGAGGGAATTAGCACGAGGATTTTAGTTCAGTGTGGTCAGCAGAAAAGAAGCACAGAACTTAAATTCTATCTTTGCACTTCTTTGACATTTGCTCTGCTGCATTACACATATCCACTCCTTCACTGTAAAGTAATGATGCTTCTCCTAAGCTGCAGCTAGCCTTAGGGGTGCTACAAAAGCAGCTTCTATTGGTGTAGGGTATGGAAATCCTGTCTGCACACACCTTCCTTGTCCCCCACCTGCAGATAAAGTAGAAGTTCCTGATTCAGCTCAAGACAGCTGAGGATTCAACCTCACTCAGATGTATGTGGTCATCCCTCCATCTAAAATGTGCTTGCCCACCTCGCCAACAACCGCATAGACAACTGCATTGAACCTGACTTCCCCTAAAGTACATGTCAGGGAGTTGGAACTTTCTTTCATTTAAAGTTTAGAAATCATATCTTTTGCCAGCCTACAAGCTCATATACTAGCAGTTTCTTAAGAGCTGAACCAGCGTATTATGCTCTGTACTTGTGAAGGAGGAGTTTTTTCCTGTGGTTTCTCTTTGTTTAATCATATTCAATTATGTATCTAAAATATAGATCCTCTTTAGGAATCCGTTTCTTGCCCTGAGAAATACTGCATCTCAGGCAATAATATCAGTAAGCTAAAGCTGGAGATTGCCTTCAGCTGTCTGGACGCCACAGTAAGGCTGACTGCCTTCAGCCATCCAACCGTACTTGAAACGGAAAGGCTGAACTAGGAAAATCAACAGGGTTGTACCTGTCATTCTTTTACATATCCCATTGGATATACAACCAAAGACAGAGTAGTAAGAAAAAGAAATAACAGTCATAATGCTCTAGGATGCTTTCCCCTGCATTCAAGATTTCTATGTGCCAAAGACAGGTGCTATTTATTGGCCACCATCATTCCTTAACATCTGCTGAAACATCAGGCAACTCCTGACCAGAGTCCTGGAGCATGCCTTTCCTAAGGTGCTGAGAAGACAAACCAGCCTCTCGTACTTCACTACTAACTGCTACAGCCGTGCTAACTGGTTTACGGTCCAGGATGAACGCCTAGCACTAAATGCCAATAACTGCTGTGAATACCAGCAGAAGTTGAGGAGATGGCACACGTTGCAAACTGTGGCCTGTAAAGCTTAACCCAAGACTGGATTTTGGTAAATCCCACAGCTGGTGTCTCTTTCTAAGGGATTTACTGTGAGCAAGTGGCACTTCTCTTATGTCCCTATTCTTCCCAAGTGAAGGGGGGAAGGAGAGAAAAGGGTAGGACTTTTGCTGTTGAAAATACAAACATTTAAGGAGAATTGAGGAGTGGACTCCTTCGCTTTGTCTGCAAGTGTGCAGACTTCCTCTCCAGCTGAGATGACTGCAAGCGGATGAGTCGCTTGAGGCACCTAGTCTCCAGCTCGCCACTGCCCTGAAAACCCTTCATTGTCATACATGAAGGAAGCATGTCTCTCTCCACAAGCCATGCTCAACAGTTTTCAGCAGCAATGTAATTGTTTCACAAGCTGGTAAAAAGATGGAGCTGAATTAAAAAGTCCTAATGTCAGGGAAAATTTTATGGTAAAAGGCTGGTTTGCATTGTTTGCAGATATTACTAAGAGAGAAATTTTCCACGCTCTCCCCTAAGGTTAAACAGTAAAATGAAAAACAGTAAAGTGAGGGTAGGAAAGTTGCCAAAAAGGGGAGGCGTTGAGAGGGAGGAAAGAAAACTTTGCCATTTTATAGATGCAGAGCCTTAAATAAAACTCAAAGCTTTCAATCTGCTGAGGCTCGAGTGTGGGACCAAGATCTGAAGTGAGAGACACGATGGTTAAAACAGGACAGGGAATTTTAACGGCCATAGTTTGCTTTCTTTTTGCTCACTACTCACTCAGCTTCAGGAAACTCATTTTGGCAATAAGTGGTTTACTTGAATTGTTTGTCACAGGAAAGAAAGCCTTTGTCACCAATGCAAAGCGGAAAGGGTACTTACCTCCAGAAAGCACCTTGAGACTGTGCACTGCTTGAAAAGCCACTGCCCAGTTGTCAGCATAAAGGTGTACTAGTACTCCAGGCTTGTGTGAGGCCGAGGCCTCACACACCAAAGGATAACAATTTCAGTAGATATATGGAATGCCCCCCGCAAAAGATATAGCAGAATTACCTTAAAGTGTGATTATGTGTAGTAACAGAGTTGTCCAAGAGTGGGCTCTCGGTCATGCCACTTCCATACACGCCAGAATTTAGCCAAGTTGAGCGGGCTCGCCTCTTTTTCTTCTCTTGTTCCTTACGTTTTCCAGGCTTTGCCTTCTTTTTCTTCCCCGATACCTTCAGAGGCTGCTCCTTGTAGGTCTGTGATTTGTTTGTCTCCTGAGTTAGGTATCTGCCCTCATCTTCACTACCAAATCGGACAGGGTAGTTCTTTGTGTTGGTGGAAGGCTTAGGGTTAGGTGAAACCTCTGAAGTTGCACGGATTTCTGCAGTGTTGACACCTTCAATTAAATTTTGAAGGAATATTCTTCTTCGTAAGTCTTGGATTGACTTGCCCTTGTCATGCAATAGCTGGTGCTCTGACACAGCCCGTTTGCTAAAGAAAGAGAAGAGAGGAGGGGAAAAAAAACATTTAGGGTTTGGTTATTGCCCAGTATTTGGCAGAGCTCCTCTCTCCTCTGGCAGTGGCAGCCACAGTGACTGTGTACCGGCACTCAGGCTTGGAGACACCCAGTTAACTCAGTCTGCTGGAGCAAGTTTTGCTTCTTGGAGTAGCTGCTCCCTACGGAGAAGGGAAAGACCTAAGCGGGTAATAATTCTCAGCTGACCAATCACACACCACTGAGCCTGGAGCTCTGTTCTAGGAAAGCATTACAACTCTTAATATATCACGCTTCAGGCAGTAAAATCAGGAAGGCAGTTGTCAGAGATAGGAAAACTAAAGGGTCAAATAATGGAGCGCTGCAGTCAAGCAAGAGAAGGAATAACAAGTACTTGTACTGAAGCCGGAAGCAGTGTTTATACAGCATGGTTCTAATAATTTTCTTCTGCTCAGTCATGTCCTTCAGAAACATAAATAAATACATAAAAGTGTGTTTCATTTCTAAATTTAAATGAGTGCAATTGCAGGAGCGTAATGGAAAAATGTTCAAATTTGGGTGCCTAAGACACGGGCACTTCAGTCCGTAATGAGCTATCCAGAGAGGCAGCAGCCTGAGCATCAGCAGAGATGAGCCTCAGCCACTCCTGTTGATTTTACTGCTTGGCCACTTGTGTCTAATTATGGTTTTAGATGCCTTTCTAGTATTCCTTTAAGCATGAATTTTTAGGGACAAATTTCTTGTCTGCTGTGCTCTTTGAGTTTTATGCTAGCCCTCTTCACTGGATCTTCTTCAAGAGCATCCTGGTTTGTTTGAGTGGGTCTCTGGTACTTTTCCAGAGTTCATGACCTTTTGGTTCACTGATCTCTGTCCTGTTTTCGAGGAACTGGTAGATAGTTAGCTATCTGTCTTTTAGAGATGTTGTACTGGCAAAGAAGGTATGAAGTGTCTGAGGAAAGAAGATACAAGTACCTGGGTAATAAACAACCATGAGAAAATACATGCATTTTCCTTGACGTAGGATAGATGCACAGCTGCACTGTGAACCACAGAAAGCGCAAGCTGGGATTTTAGCTATGTTCCCATGAATGCTATAATACAGTTTATTCTTCCAATTGCCCTACTTCAGTGTGCTGAGGTTGGCTATGTATCCCCTCATCTTGCATCAGGGTACTGCATGTGACTGGATTCTTACTGGCCAAAGAAAATGAATGCACTGCCTTGCCTGTTGTATAATCATTGGGTCAGTTAGCTGGATAAAAAGTTGTTTCTGCATGTGGGTGAAATGGGAGAAGACTCATAACTGTGAGTGAATATTCCTTCCTTCCGTCCCTAATTATCCTGCTATGTTACCAGGTTTCAAAATGCGGTGGACAAAGATAGTATGCTAAACGATGGGGAGTGTTCTGTAGTTTGTCTTTCTCAGTCCCTTCAGCCAAACACTTTAGATTTCTGATGGGATCAACAGTAGAGGTATTTGAAATTGGCAACGTCAAGTAGCATTGGTTTAAGAGCATCCCCTTCGCTTTTTGTCTTTGTAGAGCTGCACTTTTTGAGTATTGGGTTCAAGTGATGGGTTCAAGTGATACTACATCTCCATTACTCAGTGTAAAATTCAAACAGCAGCTTTCCCCGATTCCATGAGACTGCAAAATGACTGTTGTTTTTGCATGAAGTGATACAGGCCTAGCTATACTCAGGTTTGCAAGCACACCTTTCACCAAACATTGTCTATGTTTTAAGTGTCCCGAAATCAGCTTTGGATTACTTCTGACTTCAGGGCAAGTATATTATGCCCTTCAACTCAATGTCCCTAAGCAAAAATGCAATGTGATAATACTGTGCTGAACCCATATTGTTTCATTCTCTTCAGTGCATCTGTGACCATTAACACAAGCTCAAGATCTCCCCCAGGAGAATTTTTTTGACCAGTGCACTCCCTGAAGCTCTCTGACAGCCATCTCTAACAACCTTCTCATTAAGGTCAGTCTGATTTGCAAGTATGCTAATAAAACTAGCACCTTGGACTCCTCTAAGTGGCATACTTCTCTGCTGCTTGTCAAGCTGTCCATTGTGTCTCATGTTACACTCTCAGCTTCAGTAATCTATTTTCCCAGGATATTTGCATGGGAAATGCAGTTCTTTCACTCTTCTGGTTTATAAAAAGCATACAAAACCTTAGTGCTTTACTGAGTCTTAAACAGTACGTCTCATATGTGATGAGCAAAGCTTTCCTACTGCCTCTTGTAAACTACCAAGGATAATTTCTTTTATCACAGACAACCTAAAGCTGCCTTAATCCTGTAATGTGTATTTGGTCAATTTACCCACTGTGACAAAATCTTGAATATCTAAAGCCTGTTATTAAAGTCCTCTTGATTGAAAAGCTATTCCATTTTACAGAGCTAAAACCTGAGGATTTGGTTCCAGTACACACAAGGCACTCAAAGAGCATTACAGGATCTACATCTTGTGTGAGTATCCATTTCCAAAATAATGCAGGGATTGACGCGTGAGGGGTTAGTGTGCCAAAGAGGGTGGGTTTCTGTTTAAATGTCTGTATGATATTTAGCATCAAGTCTGGCCCCAAATAGCATTCTGCTATTCCAGATGATTGTATAACATTACATAGTGTTACATTTCACATGACTTTTATTACTCAGACAGACTTAAGGATTACATTTTGCCTACCAATTTCCTATGTATGCTCCGGATCAAAAATCTTCTCAAAACAAAGAAGATGTGGTAGATACATATCTCTCTGACCTTCTGCCTCCTTCTGCCTCAGTTATTCAAACAACTCCTGTGTTTGTAAATCAGGGAAAAATACTTGCCCAAGAATGCTGATGTAAGAAGTGCTTCATGATGGAGATATCAACAATGTCTCACCCACGCACATGGAGTAGGAAGGCAATGGAAACTGGAATGATTGCATTCACATATTGGGTACGGTATGTAAAAAAATATTAGGCTGTTAGGGTTAAGATGACCCACTAGAGGTCCCTTCCATCCTTCTATAAAATGCGCATCTCATTCAAGGAAAAAGAGTCTGACCCCAAACCAAGTGCAGTAAATGCTAAGCTTGCATGTGGTAGGCGCTTTTGAGAGAAGGATGGGATGGTTTGTATTTGACCGGAGTATCCACTAATTACTGTATCCAAGTACACTATGCACATATGGGACTTAATGTCTCATTATGGGGAAAACAGTAGATAATCCATGACTTGTGACTATTCTAACTTCATGTACTTCCAGGTAAGCTGTTCTTTTCAGGCACATGCTTGCTTCATTTTTTTTCACTGGCTGTCTAGTGTCACTGAGAGGCAACATCAGTCAAGCGACAAAGCTGCTCTTATTTAACCATTATTATCCTTGACTATTCACATTGGGTCTGACCATAAGTTCAGCTAGAACTGGAAAGGATGCAGTCAGCTGTCTGTCTGAATTTTGCAAGTCTGAGTGCCCTTGCCACTGGCTCCAAAGGGTGAAAGCTGCTTAACCTATCTCAGGCTTAAGAAAAATATTTTGAAGAGATCTGGGGACATGATGTGCCAGTGTCTGCACACGCTGATAAAAATATCTAATTTAACTTTGAGGTGTTGCTGGGTCTTTCAGAAGTTCTTTAGCAGCTAAAGCATTTCTATAACAAATAATATGCCTGGCATTCTTTCCTTGGGACAACTTGTTATTGCTTTCCATGGGAGATTTGCCTTGGTAAAGTCTGTAGAACTAGGCCTATGTCATTTTGATTATTTTTGCATGGCTATAATAACGTGCTTCAGTATTTTCATCTGTTACTGGTTTAAGCCTTTGACTGAAAAAAAAAAAAAATCTCTAGGCTGAAGTGAGTTATTAATCATTAACTCTAGGAATGGTTTGTGGTGATATTAAAACAGGACACATGTTTGAGTGTGGTGTCTGTGTTTGTGCTGTGCCCACAAACAAAACTAAAAGAATGCCACTAACTGACAGCTAACTGTTTTTTTCTGTGTTTTACATGCCATAGCAAAGAGGGAGCTGAGAAATGCATTCTGACTGTTTAGCTTCCACTTTCCCCCCGCCCCCGTCAGAACGGAATGGGGATGTTGGGAAGACCTCTAATCCTGACCTTTAAAAACAAACGTTAGAACAATGCAAGCTTCAAAAAGAGAAAGAGTATTTCTTAGCAAATCTAGCTTTAAAAAAAAAATAATAAATTGGGCTTAGGTCCAGTTCAGAGTTTCCTAGCCAAGGAAATACAGCATTTGACTGTACTTCAATTATTTTCATTTTTTATTTCTGAAACTGAAGTTTGGTTCCTCTGTGTCCCAAGAGAAGAAAACACTCTCAAATGAAAGAAATATCTCAACAATAGTTTGCAGGAGTACAAAACAGCTAAGCATTAATGGACTGCGAAGAATTATCAGCAATAACATGTTCTACACAATTTGCTGTAGGAGATTTGTAATAGCTGTCTGCCTGGTGCCAAGGTTTAGGTGTGTCTGAAGTCACTTCACCTGGGGGATTTTTTTTGTTGCTTAAATGGCAGAGGAAGTGCTATTTGGAGATCTTGTCCTTATGTATGCAATAAAACAGTTACAAGGAAACCCATCTGAAATTCAGTTTGCTGTGTCATGTTTCCCCGTAAATTGCGATTGGATTTTCCAGTCCTCTTTCTCCAACCTGACTTCCTTTTGAACTTAGTAACAATACAGCCCTCCCCAGTATGACTGAAGTGTTTCTTCCTTAGAAAATCTGATGCAAGTCCAGGGAAAGCCAGGGAGTTAGATGTGTGAGACAGCTGCTCCTACATCAGCCCAGTGGCTTCTCTTTTGCACTTTGCGTAGGGGTATTAGTATAAACCATGTTGATTATTTTGGAAGGAGCAAAAAGGTCATTTCCTGAACAGATAAGTTACATTATCATTTATCAAAAAATATGCTTCTGCCTTCAAGTCAGATACTGGGCTCCCTTTGGATTTTTTTTGTTGGCTGAAGTGGCAGAAATCCAAATAAATTGTTCAGTACTTCGGTTTCATGATAGCCCTCACTATTGCGCGTTTCCCCTACCCTTATCAATATTGGCTCCGTGCCAGCGCTGAAGAAGTATATGGTACTTAGTGTAACATGTAGCAGTTTGATAAAACGGGATGCTCCCTCCTAGGACCCTTCCAGGGTGCAGAAACGTGAGCGGGGATGCAGCACCCAGCTGCACCGGTGCTCTCCCCTCGGGAGACCCTCAGCTTTACCATCTCCTTCCCAAAAGCTTTGTAAGTTCCGACAGCTGAGAAGCGCCCTTTCCCTGCCCCAAACGCCCTCCCTTACAGAAGGCAAAATCCTGTGCTAATCAGGGAGACAGGAGGGATCTGGACTCTTATGAAAAAAAGAATTGGGGTGGCTCCTTCACCCCAAAGGAACACAGTGCCCACATTACCAAAAAAAAAAAAAAAGAGAGAAAGAGAAACTCACAGTCTGCGGCTGATCCCCTCTACTGATCTCCCGTAGGAGGGCACGGAATAACTCAGCAGAAACACTGCGAAACTCCACTGCTGGAAGAGTTTAGTGAACATTGTATCCTCCGGGTCTTGAAACCTGCAGGGAAAGGGAGATCAGTCTCGAGGGACACGTGCGCCAGCGCCGTCCCCGAGCACTGTCGGCTTTAGCAGTTCCGAGGTTGTGAAGGAAAAAAAACTTTCTGAGCTCTCGGCAGCGGCTCACTTCTTCCAAACTTCCCTCTGTCTCCTCTCCCTTGCTGTCTGCCTCTCCCTCCTTCCCCCCCCGCCTCCCTCTCTCTCCGTCTCTCGCTGCCCGGAGGCGAGATCTGTCTCAGTATTAGTTAAAAAATTATCTAGCTCGTATCAGAATCGCGTTAGAGAGAGTCCATTTGTCTCCCTGAGCCCTGTTCAATTCCGGCCCGCTAAGCGGCTGTCTCAGGGCTTTATGTTGCAGATAAGGAAAGATTCCCCAAAGTCAGCTCAGCCACCCTCTTCTCTGTAAACACACGCACGGACGGACACACACACAGATTCAGCGAGGGGGGGCGGAGGGGAATGCATCTATACATCTGTCTTGAAGTATACCTCTGGAAAAAAAAAAATTAAAAAAAAAAAAAAAAGGAGCCAGGTTCACGTCGTCTGCTTCCGGAAAGTTGGGTCCACAAGTGTGACAAGAAACGTGAACTCAAGCAAAGAGCGCTGCCCGGCTGGAGTGCCCGAGAGGTCTGAGAGGAGCGGGAGCCCGGGGAGGCTCAGGGGCTCAGAGGCATGCTCGGCTCCGCAGGTTGGATTGGGCTGGAGCCTGCGATGTTCACACGCTCCGAAGCAGCTTCTGGGAGACCTGCGGGAGGACGGAGGGTTTTGCAAAGAGATGGCGCCCTAGGAACATGTGCGGAGAGCGCCAGAGCCCGGGCGGGATACCCACAGCCAAAAAGGAGACTAGAAATCGGCGCTTCCCGGGGCCGGAATCAAAGAGAAGGGAAGAAAAGGAAACAGCCGACAGCACATGCACTCAGCAGACCCTAAGGACTCCGGCCAAGCTCTTCTCATCTTCTGCATCTCCCTCTCTCTCCCCCCCGCCCCGCACCTCTCCCTTTTTGTGTTTACCCCTAGGTCAGCGCCTCCCCTGCCGTAGCACAGTGGAAAGTGCGATCCCTCCATCAGTGCGGGCGCTTTTTAGATCGAGCCCAAAAGCCCAGCCTGCGATCGTTGCCGCCTCTCCTCTCACACACCTACCGTTGTTCGTCGCAGTTCCCCTATTAGCTGGAGGGTTGATTCCTAATGATGTTAATTGTACGCTAGTAAAGGGG